AGCAGGAGACGAGTTGGAGTGCTGTCCCCAGGCTCCGCAAAATTTCTGCAGCTCCTGAGACATCAGGAGGAGGATGCCACCCTTGGAACAGGGTGCACGGGGTGAGCTGGGCCAGAGCATCCACTGTAAAGGTTGGCTGAGAGGTTCCCTGTCTCCCTGGCAGGCTGCTGGGGCTGCGGGCAGCGCAGGGCGCTGGGTCCAGCTGGCAGCATCTCCCATGGCTCTGTCCCCACTGGTGTGGGTTGGCAGCACACGACGTCCTCCTGGCACAGGGCAGGATCTGTGCTGGGACCCTCCCAGCAGTGATGGGATGCCCAGCCTCTGTGCTGAAGGTCTTTTTTGGTCCCCTGTATGTCATCTGCCCCAGGGGACAGTCGGGCCTGGAAGAGGGTCCTTTTCCCCACAGTCCCCCTCCCTGCATTCCCCCCCAAGGGGGAGAGCCACCGTCTGTCGCCTTAACCGAGAGCCCGTTCTGTGTGGCCTCTGGGCTATGCACATACCTGGTGTCTGCGGGTGCACGAACCTCTGTACTAGCTCAGGATGGGATCTCGCCCCTCAAAACGCTTCCCCTGGCTGTGAGACCCTCTGGGGACCACCAGCGTGGGGTCCCAGCTGCCGAGGGAGCACCACAGTTGCCCGACAGAGCCTGGCTGCGGCCCCTGCTTGCCGCCCTGCGGCTGGACGCGTGTGGGCTCGCTGCTTGGTGGAGGGCGTTCACCTCTGCGCTGCTGCCAGAATAACGTGTGTGTCCCTGGCCACCAGGCCTGTAGCATGTCGCTCCTCCTGCTCCTGGACTGTCCCCGTCGTGCTGACTGGCAGCCCTGCACATGGGCTGCTTCTTAATTTGCCACCTGAAAAGAGACACCAGTAATAAAGTTGTTCATCCCACCCACTCGAGTCCCTGGGAGAGTCTCTGGAGTCTGCTGAGCCCCTGCCACGGGGAATGGTGCTGGATCCGTTCAGCTCCAGGCTGAGTGGGGGTCTTGCTGGCAACTGGGGACAGCTGGGTGTCCATGGCCAGCTGGCAGCATTGTGCCTGGGGTGCCGGGAGCTGGGAGATGCAGTGCTGGGCAGGATCAGGATCGTCTCAGCTCCCGGGGACTGGCAGGAGATGGTGCTGTTACTCCTCTGTCTGCTGCAGTTGCTGGGGACCAAAAGCCTGGGCTGATGCCAGGGCCCTGCTTCCGTGGAGGACATGAGTCTGGCGGGCTCCATCCTTTTGGAGGACAGTGCTGATGCTGGACAGGTGGTCCTGGGGGTGAACAGGGGGTTGGTGGTCCTGAGAAGTTTACAGAGACACACACCCCGGTGTGAGAAGGGCACAGGAGGGAATCGCAAGGTATGTTGGCTGTACGTATGTTGTGCATGTGTGCACGTGCTGGTAGACGGGTCGTACGCACATGTGTGTATAGGTGGAAGCAGGATGGTTCTGTGTGCATGTGTCTTGGCAGGGCAGTTGGGTGTGCACAGGTGCGTGCGTGCATGTAGGTAGAACAGTTTGCAGCTGGGTGTAGGTGGAACAGGTGAGTGTTCCACGCGTGCTTGCACGTGTGTGTGTAGGTAGAACAATAGGGCATCTGTCCATATGATCAGAGCAATTGCACACATGTGAGTGCTCAGGCACATACGGGTAGGACATTTGTGTACGTGCATGTGTGTAGGCAGAAGTCGTGCACATGTGTGTGCCTCTGCAGGTGAGACGAGTGTGTGCACGCGTATGTGTGCACAGCAAGTGCACGTGTGTATACAGACCAGAAGGACAACCAGATATACGTGTGTGCACGCCTGTGTGCGCATGGGCAGACCATGCGTGTGCACACGTGTGTGGGCAGGCTGTGTTTGTGAGTTCTTGCGGGTTGCGAGGCCACCTTGGCCCCATGCCATGCCCATTCCCTGGGGTTTCGCAAGGTCCTGTTGAGGAACACAAGCAATCCCATGCCGGCCTGTGCAAGAAGGCGCTAACTCAGCAGCTCGTATCAATACTGCTCCACTTACAGCGAAGGCCATGTAATGAAAATCCAATGGGCACGCTGGTGGGAGTAAATAAGTATGCCATTAAAATGAGAAAATCAAAGCTCTGGACAGGTCTTTTCTCTTGCCCATTGATTTCTTTTATTACGGAAATATTGCTGCTAAATAACATTAGTGTGAACAATCTCGGCAGTGTTTTCCGTAGCACCCGTGTCAATAACTCCATCACGGGCGGGGGATCCCCCCCAGCCTGGCTGCAGGGCCAGCAGCCCTGTCCAGGTGAAGGGCTGCTCCGGCAGTACCTTCCTCACCACCCCTAGCTAAACTGGGATGTGCCCAGCAGGGAAACCAGGCAGCACGGCGTGGCTCGGGCAAGTGGCACTGGGACGAAGCTGGGCTGGCTGGGATTCATGAGCCCTGGCTGCTTTGCTGCGGCAGGAAGGGTTGTCCCAATCCTAGCACTAAGCAGGGACAATACCAGGCATTCAAGGGTCCCAAAAACCAGGACCTCCCTTCAGGTCAGGTGTTTGCAGCCTGTTAAGGAGCAGGTGAGTGTCACCAGTGACCAGCAGATGAGTGGTGGGTCCTGGACACAGCGTGTCCTACAGGCTTTTGCTGCCTCTGCCCCTTCCTCCCCACTCCTCTTCATCCATGCCCAAGTCATGCTGGACTGACCCAGCTCCCTGTGGCTTGCCATCCTTTGGTTCAGATGGAGAAACTGAGGCACGAGTTGGGAACTCGTCCGCAGTCACCCATCTCCAGCACAGTCCCTGTGCCAGGGTCAGGGCTTGCACTCAAGCTGGCCCTCTCCCTTTTGGCTGCCCACACACAGGCACCCAGCATCCTCCGAGATACCCACAGGTGGCAGGGACATTCCTGCAGGGCCAAAGGATGTGACCAGGACACATGGGAAATATGCACCCTTTGGAACCCAGAGGCCAGGTGGGACCCCAGGGCACCTGAAATGGCACCAAACCCCTGTGGGGTGGCCGGAGATGGGCAAGCCTGCATTGTGGGCCCGACTCTGTCCCAGCCCCAGATGAAGCGATCACAAGCAGCATCTCCCCAAAGCCGTCACCAGGACAAATGCACATCACTGCCCACCAAACGCCTTCTCCCTGCAGCTCACTCTATCTTGCTGTCCCTCTGCATGCAGTGGTTATTGATCAGCCCGCAGGATCTATCTCCTGATTCCTCCTGCGGTATCTCTCTGCTCCGAGTATCTCTCAATCTGCTCCGCCGTCTGCTGTGCCCGTCTATACCTCCCGTATCTATCTGTGCCGCCTCCACCGCAGCCGTCGATAGCCATTTGTCTGGGGGATTTCTCTCTCTCCAGCGAGGAGCATCACCAGACTCCAGCAGTGCAAAGATGCTGAGCAGGAGGGTGGAGGGGACATGGTCCTGCTTGCTGCCCCAGGAAGAACCTGAGGACTGACACACATGCAGAGTCCCAGAGCTGCTGTTGCCACTGTGGAGGTCTAGGAAAGAACTGAGCCAGCTTGTTCAGCTGGGCCAGGTCCCTTGGTGGCCATGCCCAGGGCGATGGGACACGCTGCACCGCACGGCCCTGCCACTAGCAAGCCTGGCTGCGTCCCCCAATCTTGGGTGCCATGTTGACGAGAGCACCCCAACCCATCTGCATGGAAGGAGGTGAACTTCCCCAAATGCCTGGGTTCCTGCTAGGCCATGGAGAAGTCCTGTCAGCATCACCACATCTGACTCATCCCACCCAGCCTTCAGCCCCAGCTCCCTCCTCGGCCCGGTGGGTAGGGGGTGGGGTACAGCCCAGTGCAGAGGGTGCCAGCACCCTGGAGTACAATGTATCAGTACCAGGAGGGGAGGCTGGAGCCCTGTGTGATGGGGACCTGTGGAACAAGTCCTGGGGGGTGTCTGGCCCTTGTGGGTCCCCCTGAAACAGGGCAACTCAGCAGGATCGTCGGCTAGCTGTCTACAAAGTGATGCTCAGGGGGGGCTGGCAAGCACTGGGAGGGCCCTACCCCTGCCTCGGTGGGATGGGATGGGATGGGCCAGGGCGAGCTACAGCTGTCCAGCCCTGAAATGGGATGGCTGACAGCTGCTTTATCTCCTGCGCAAAGATAAACAGTGCCCGGGGGCCCCACGGGGTCAGGAGCTGCCCTGGTTTCCCAGAGAAGGGGCTCATTTTTCCAGGACAGCCTCTCCAGCGAAGATGCCGTGCAGTGCTGAGCACCGCTGGGCTGCCAGGAGCTCCAGGAGCCTCGACAGTCCCCAGCGCTGTGGAAGGACGAGGGGCAGTTTCTCTGGAGATGCATGCGGGGAAGCCGGAGAGCCAGAACTGGCGGCTTTTCCCCGCAAAAGGTCGTGTCAAAGAGGGCAGAGGCTCAGCCCAGACTGCAGATCCCGAGAGCAAATGCAGCTGCCGCTGCAGACGTGATCAGCGCCTGTTTCTGCAAGACACTTGGGGAGAAGGGCAGGAATCAGCTCGTGCTAGGCTGTTAAAGGCGGCTGCCCCTGGTCCCAGTGGCACACAGGTGGCCCTGGAGGGGACAGAGCCAGCAGCACTTGGCACCCAGAGCTCCTGTCACCCCGAGCCACCAACAGCAAGTGCAACAGCATGAGATCTCGGTGACAAGCTGCCCTGGCTATGGAATGGGGCCAAAGCCACTGTCCCTTGTGTGCTGGTGTTACAGGATGCTGCTGGTGCTGCTGCTTATCCCCCAGGAACTCGCACAAGTTCTGCATCTGTCCTGG